CAGTCCACACTGATCGATCCAACGACTATGAGATAACGACACTGAGGATAGACCACGTGACTGATGGAAGACACGCTCTTGTTCAGTTCACCTCCGACTGGGTCAAAGATGCCGAGAGAAGGGACCTCACTATTAATTCCATGAGTCTTGGTTTTGACGGAAAACTCTATGATTATTTCGACGGTCAGAAACACCTTGCAGAGAGAAAGTTATTATTTGTGGGAGATGCTGTATCAAGGATACAGGAAGACTATCTTAGGATACTGAGATATTTCAGGTAATTGATGTACTAGTCTGCTATCATAAATGACTATGTTTTTTGTGCACATAATTGTACATGTACTGTACATGTGCACGTACTTTCAATGATAATAAATTCATTGTTTATGCTCCCCAGAGAGTTTCTCTTTATGTACATGCCTTGTCACCCTACATATCAAATTTCTATTGATTATTGTGATAGTTTTAATCCTTATTGCTTGTACATTATATAATAATTTAATTGCCTTTCACAATTTAAAAAAAAATAAAACCTTACCTTGTTCCTTTGGCTGTAGCCACTGTATAAACCTGTATTTATTATTATTATTATTATTATTATTATTATTATTATTATTATTATTATTATTATTATTATTTATTTTGTCACTAGGTTTTATGGTCGTATATGTCTTCTACCCAATGCCCATGATCCAGATACGCTGACTGCCATTAGGGATAATGCTGTGGGTCTCACTAAGATATCAGTGGAGAGGATATGGAGCGAAATGAGTCGTATACTGGTCGGTAACCACTCACCCCATCTCGTTAGTCTAATGTATGAACTGGGCGTGGCAGCTAATATAGGTAATTAATTAAGATCATTATGCATGTACATGTACATGTATGTACTTACTGCATGTATAATAATACCTTAAGGCTTATTAATAATGCCATGTAACTATTAATAATAATTACTTAATTGTAATTTTTAATACCGGCAAAATCTATCTAGTGCTAAAATTACAAAATTTAGTACCCACAATTAAAAAGTCACTCTAAGCTATCATTAAGATTCTTTACCTGTTCAAGCAATGCTGGTATGCTTTAGGAATATTCAGAATGTTGTCTTGTTTCTATACGTTAGGTTTGCCTGATGATGGCAATTTGAATGAGTTGACTAAAGTATGGGAGAGCATGCATGGACGCTATCAGTTGGAGCCGGTTTGTTTGTTAGTCTCTTTACTGAAATCAGGAGAAGAAGTCGAGAGGTTTAGTAGACAATGGAAGCTATCGAACTTGGAGCGGAAGCTAGGAATGTTTGTGAGCAACGAGAGAGAGGCTTGCTATCAGGGAGCACCACTGAAGTATTACAAGGATCAGTTAGTTGATGGAGAGTTTAGGAATCATGTACTGGAATTGCTCAAGTATTGTAGCCGGTTCCCTGATAGCACTGAGCTAGAGGGATGGACGGTACCTGTATGTCCTGTGAATGGTAATGACTTGAAGAAGGCTGGGATAGCTAGTGGACAAAAATTGGGTGAAACTTTGAAGGACGTTAGAAGAAAGTGGAAGGAAAGTTGCTATGAATCGTCGAAAGAGGATCTACTTGCAACTTTAAAATGATTTTTAAAAATATAAATATAATCTTTATCATTATTAAATCTAGAGTTAACAATGAATCTCATTTTATTTGTAGTAGAGTAATTAATCAATTATCGGACTAATCAAACTTCGGACAGTTATATTTTGAAAACTAAACATGACTTTCCAGTGATTTTTGCACTAGATATAGATCATCACAATATCTGTTTGCATGGTAAAAATCAAAGCATTACCTTCTTTCTTTGTAAAGATATAATTTGCTAAACACACTTCGTAGATTCACACAATAATCGGCCGTGTTAACTCCATTTTCGTCACTTAGCCACAACGAAGCAAGCTTTGTTCGAAGAATAGTTTTGTACCACCAGAACTTTAGTACTGACTGTCTTCTTCAAATACCACTGTAAACATCTTGGTCATCTTTGCTTACTGTTCAGGTATTATACCTTTTTAGTTAATTATCATTATCGGTCACACCCATCTTCATTAATTGCTGCAACAAAGCACGAGGCTCCTTGTTTGTATTTTGTTTGGGCTCATTGAATCTCTCAGCTGCCTTTTCTTATCATAAATACTACCTCTATTGAATGTAAGTTACTATAAAAACAAAATTTGTTTGTATAGCATGCAGTTTGTTTTCAAAGCTGCTCTATCATGTGTATAGCCATAGTGCATGCAAGGTGCAAATTGCTCAGGCTTTAGTTCTGTAAAATAAAGGTACATCAATCTAGCACCAAGCCTTTTCCCCATGTTTACATGTCATTGGTATGATAATCAATTTTTTATGTTAATGTCTTTTTTAGATGGCGACATGCTGATGTACATACTCTACATGGCCTGAAATAAGCATGACGAATGCTATCAAAGCAGTTGAAGAAGAGGGGTTGACAGTTAGACTTGCAGCGGAGCTATATGGCATTCCCAAATCAACACTTTATGACAGGATCAGGGGAAATGTTCAACATGGAACTAAACCTGGCCCAGTGCCGTATCTTACAAAAGAAGAAGAGGTTATTTTGGCTAAGTTTTTAATCAAATATTCTCAGATTGGATTTCCCCGCACAGTTTCAGAAGTTCTTGCACTAGTAAGACAAACAATTCAGTCAAAGGGTTTAAGTGACGTCTCAATTTCTTATGGATGGTGGCAGAAATTTTGTAGCAGGCACAGTGAATTATCACTTCGTACTGCTGTGCCTTTAAGTCTTTCGAGAGCCATGGCCACTGATAATAGTGTCATACAAAAGTATTTTGATATACTTGAAGATACACTTAAAGAAAATTCTCTATTCAACAATCCAACTCGCATATTCAACTGTGATGAAACAGGACTCCCATTGAATCCTAAATCTTTGAAAGTTGTGAGTGGTCGTGGAGCTAAGAATGTCAGTCAAATCACTGGA